AAATAAGACGGGGAGCACAGACTCTTGCATAAGAATGAAATGATGCGGAAAAAAGCTACGGAATAGAGAATGCGTCATTGAAGCAACCAACTAGCGCTATTCCGCATTTGATGTTGCGAAATAGAGAGTGCGGCATTGTTCTTGTAATAAACGTTGTATTTTGAGAGGTTAAAATAATTTGATGCTGATTGATATGATAGAATTGCGTCGTAATGTTGAGACGAATGAAGCAAAATGACAAAATTTGAGTGCATAAATTAAATGTATTAGATACCAAGATCAAAACAATACCGCATTATCTGCAATTTTAGTGTGCCATTTTCCGCACTTTTCCATCATGTAAGTTTTGTGTGCTATGTTCACACTATGCGGAAAAATGATATATGAGTAAATGCATTAAAGCAATTTAAAAAATTGTTATGAGATTGTAAATATTAATTGTAAAACATTAAATACAATAGTGATAATTATTTTTACAATTTAATAAATTATATTTCATTTTAATAAGCAAATTATTAACATAAAATTAGTAGTGTGTAAATTATATTTCTGGATGCATCTTTGACGTACCATGTGAACATAGCACACAAAACTTGCGTGATGGAAAAGTACGCATCGTGTGATTTCACCTTAACGCATAACACATAATGCATAAGAAAATAAACCAATCAATGTTTTTTATTTCCTTCTTTTATTATGTCCCGGAGAGGTTCAGCCGGTTCCCGGTTTTGAACTAACCCGAGACTCTAAGTTTAAAATTATTTCGCGGTTCATGCCTCGAAAAAGGCATGATCTCGATCGTATTTGTCCAATCAATTGACTAAAGCCGGGCACTAGATACGCCGACTATAGAATCCGGATCACTCCACGATTGCTCTCCTGCTTTCTCTAAATAAGCGATGAATTTTTCCAGCACTTCGGGACAGTCGGGACAACTTGCGACGACATGCCGAGTAACAGTTAATACGGAACATGCACTACAGTATTCGAAACGTTCAGGGAGCCCCAAATGAATATAATGGTGTAAGACCCCTTGATAGTTTCTCTTTTCGTTTTCTGACGCGGAAGTATAACAGGGCATTTGATGGATACCGCTCTCCTTGTTGGAAGAATAGCGATTATGTGCAACATGCACTGCGTAACCACGTGGAGAACGAACTAACCGCCAAGATTTGAATGTCGATGAGTGCGCGCGAACGCGGGATACGTGGGATGCTAAAGACAATTCATCAGCAACAGATTCCAATTACCCGGTATGTGAAAAGAAGTCTCTTACCTTGAAGTCTGACTCCGTCGGGTATCTTTTGGTGTTCCCGAATGCCAGTGAAAGAAGTGGTCAAGGTAGCAAGACCTCTACTGCTCCCTGGGCGAATTTGGCTGCAGATTTGTATCGCACCAATAAACACGCGCGATCACTTTTGTTAATATCCAATAGCAGTCATATTGCTATCAGCGTTAGGATAAGTTAGCTAAGAGAATGGAGATGTCTATGAAAAGCACACTCGAGATTAATTAAATGTATATTTAGCAATACTTTATACACAAGTTAATGCTTTAGTAATTAATTTTACACGAAGAGAGATATGATAAGTTAATTAAAGTTAAACTCATTACAATTTATGAGTTAGGACTTACGATTTAGAAATTGAATTAATGCTTTGGATTTAGAATTAGGATCGGAATTTTTAGATTTAGAAATTAAAAATGCAAGAAAATTGTGTTTGAACTTAGTTTTACGTTTGCACGCGGCGTTTAAAATCTAGAGCGGCGATTGGTCGGACAAAGGAAGGAATCTGTATTTCGTACGTGGCCGCTCTGGACGACCCGCACTACTACTCTGCCTTTTTTCTATGCGCGT